TGTAATGTGGACTTGCCCAAGGCTGTTCCACATAGCACTTCCCTGAAAAGCCATTAGGACTGAATTCTGTCCAGAATTCTATGTGGCAACAGAAGAATAGAAACATTTCTTGAAAGTCCCATGAATCAACTTTCTCTTTTAGTACTGCTTTCTCTTTTTTACAATATTATTGTTGTTAAAGTTATGTAAACATTTAATACAGTAGATGTTCATAACCATGGTAGTATTTCAGAGCTTTACGATTCTATATGTCACAGTAGATCTTATAATGATTCAGTGAGAACACCTGACAGCTTTACTTTTATAAAGTAATTGAGGAGGAGATTTCAGTTTTTTCAGCTTAGTAATTGTTGAGGTTTGATGACTAGCCTGGCATGATTGTTTCAGGGCATCTCTTCCCCAGATGGAGGGCCCAGGTCTATGGCGAGACAACTCCAGTACTGTAAATACCTTTGCCAGCTTTAATGGGTTTCCCCAACACAAGCACAAGACAATTAGTCAGCGATTAGTCTCCGTGGACTGTGGGCTATCCACACTGAATACATTCCAGTTTGGAAGTGCATTACCATTCATGCATTTCCACAGAATACTTTTTGACAGGGTAACTTTAGCATCAAGCAATTGCTCATTCTGACATTGCACATCTTATATTCCTGCTGCCAGTCTGTACTGGCATGAGTAGTAGAAAGGTGGTAGAAAGCACCTTGCTGAGATTTGTGTTGGATAGAAAAGTCTTCCCTGGTAGTCATTTCACCCTGCCCAAGCTGCTTTAGCAAGTATTGAGCCATGTAATTTATGCTTCTTTCCTCATTCTTTGTAAAGTTGTGCTAAATGGGGTTAAGGTAGGTAAAAAGCAGTTTGCTTTACTAGATGTTGTATACTCTGGTTGGGTACCCCATTTCCCTTCCCTTTTTCCCATACAACCTTCCTTAGTTTCTCTGTGATGAAAAACTCAGGTATTCTTTTTTGAGCACAGCACAGCTGTGGTATACACCAGGATAACCACAGCTGCACAAAACACGGCTTGCAAAAACACCCCAAAACTCTCTGAAGACCTTTGTTTTTCTGATGCCTTATTTTCCTCACTGAATCATCTGACAGCCATCTTTCCTCCACCTCCCTTCCACTTGCTGTATGTAGAGGTGGTAGCTGGTGCTGAAGAGTTGGAAAAGTTGAACTTACTTATCTCTTTCAACATTTGAATCTAAGGGATTTATACATATTCTATTGCATGTTGAATGTGCAGGCTTGAAAGTGCTTGTACTATCCTACTGCTCCTACAGATTCTACCTTAATGCTCAGTGGGAGCATCTGGATCTTCAGCATGACATGAGAGAGACCAAATTTTATACAAAGGCCATCCATAATTCTTAGTAGCAGCCCAGTTGTAAAATTCTGAATTGCAGATGTGCTTACTTTTTTACAGCATGGGTAGGAAGAAAAGAAAGAAAATACATTACTCTTTTTTTATTTAATAGTCATGAGCCATCTATTTCTGGCTAGTATTGCATTCCAGACAGGTATGATACAGAATGAAGGCAGCATAAAGCAGAATACTGATGATTAGAAAGTCATCATTTCTGATGCATGAAAACAAACTTTCTTAGTTTTTAACTTGCTATGGATCTAGAGAGTGAGAACATTCACAGTAGTGAATACTGAACTCAAGACGGCATACTCAAATTCATCCTTGAGGGAAATTACTAGTGAAGAAAATGTCAGTGCATTTGTGATACTGCAATTCCACAGCCCTCACCCCTGAGAGGACATATTGCTTGATGAGATGGTTCATATCACCCTTCATCCACCATATGACCAAATCACTATGACTTGACAAAATATGCTAAACATTTTCAGTTTTACTGAAAACAAAATTTCTTCATTGACTTGGAAGAAGGGTTTGAAGCTGATTTTCTTGCCATTCAGGAAATCAGAAATTACTTCCCTTTCAGAGAGAAACAAATGCACTAAAGCCCATTTCTTTCCTGATTTATCTCCAGGGTCTGTGAAAGAAATCTAGAGAGACTGTCCTAGCCAAGGCTCTCACCCTTCAGAGGCATCTAATGTGAATGAGCAAAGATAAGGCAAAACCACCTTAGTTTTCTTTTTAGAAGGAAAAATTATGAATGCAAAATTTCAAGTATTGTAGAATCTCCCCCCCCCCCCCCCCAAGGATCTTTATGGGAGACACAGGACACCTAGTGCTGACAAACATAGCATTCTTCAGGCACTGAGTATTTGTCAGTGCACTAGAAAAGGATTTTTCTCTCCTCTCTCATCAACTGAATTGCTACCTTATTCTCTCCAGCTATATTTTTCTTGTAATAGCCTGTGTGAAAAGCAGAACGTTTCTTTTTTTTAAATTTTTTTTTATTTTATTTTTTTTTAAGGAGATATTTTTTACTGTATTGTTTACAATCTCTGCTAGGGTTTTGGCTCTGGCTTCTCAGCTCTCCCCAGCAATCCTAGAAATAATAAGTGTGGCAGAATGACAGCATTACAAAGGCAAGCCCAGGAGCCAGTTGAGAGATATGATGGTTTCTAGTATAAGAGATGCATCAGGCAGCTAGAAATATAGCTTTTAAGTCAGTCTGAAATAAAATGAGGTATGCAAGTCTGTTCTGATTTACACCAGTAGTGCATCTTTGCTTCCAAGGAGCTCACAGCCATCTTCTCTGCTCTAACAAATAAGACTCATCCAACTGCATCTTTGTACAGGAAATATTATATTTCTAAGTGCATCAAGCTCTGCTTCTCTTGTTTCTGGCCCTCATGACAAGGCTGAGGTAAGGATCCAAATAAATGTTCTCTGCCTGACAGCTCAGCATATTGGCCTATATGACAGCTAGTATGAGAGAGCAAGGTAATCCTTGGGCTGTTTCTTTGCAAAAGTCTTTATGAACTCAAGAGAATGGTTTGGAGTCTTCAGTCCAGTAGCTTGAAGCACTCTTTCCAGTGGACTACATATCTAAGCATAAGACTGTTTTTTTTAACTCCCTAGAGAATTTTGCTGTCACAGGAGCAGCGCAGGTACACAGTTTGTGGTAACTGGGAGTGGGGCTGTGGCTGAGCCTCACCCCCAGTGGGCACAGCTGTGAGCAGCAGGTGAGCAGCACTGACAGCAACGAGCCATGGAGTGCCCAGGGGCACTGACCAACCACCAAAGGGAACAGAGGGCACACAGGGGAAATGCATCAACATCAGGGGTATAAAAGGTTGGGCTAAAGAAAGGCAGCTGCTTGAAGCCTTCTGCTGTGGTAGGGTGTTGCTGGGTATGGGTTGAAGTCTTCTGACCTTTTATGATGAGACTCTGTGTATTGTGGCTGTCTCAACTGTGGCATATGCTGTGGCAGAGCAGAGGGTTAGAGATTTTCTTACTCTAAATAGTGAGGAACACATAAAGCATGGTGTTCATCCTCCTCCTGTTTTCTTTCCTTATAATGGGTTGTTTCAGAGTACTCTTCTCACTTCACTAAAAGAGTAGGAATTGTAAATTTTATTTAATATTGTCTTATTAAATAAACAGACTTGGGTTTTTTTGTGTTGGGGAGTAGTTTGCTCTTTTAACATACCAGTGGATGTTAATTTTGTGAGGAAAAAATGTGGGCATTTTGAATAAGAGATAGTGCATCTGGGAGTCGATTTCCATTCAAACTCTTTGTTTCCATGACATATTCTTTCTAAAGATACCTAAAACAGACAGACTGTCTTATGTGTGAACAGTCTACTGTAATAAAATATTTTATATAAATTTGTAATGGTGAGAGCTTCTGCAGGCAGAGTGGCAAAAATAAGCTTAGCCTTTTATTTGGTGCTAAAACTACAGCAGGCATAGATCTTACTGCCTTCCACACTTAATTCTGAAATTTTCTGACATCAGACATGGTCCTGTCAAATCAATGAGAACCATCCTGCTGATTTAAATTTCTGGTCAGCTGGGTGTAACCTTTACAAGTGAAGCACTGTGGAATATAGAATTAGGTAATTAATGCTTCACTGTATAAATGTATACTATAGTATAAATTCCCCTTTAAAAGTAAGAATGTGGTGTCTTGAAGCCCTCCAAGTTGTTCCTTCATTCCGTGGTCTGTCTCTCCTATGCTTGTGAACTCATAATAATGAATGAAGAGGATCTGATAGGTCTTGAAATAGGACAAGTTAATTCACCTGTAAGAAAGCATGCATTGTAAGAAAGTTTTCTGCTTTTGACTTTAGAGTCCTGTGAAAAAAGTAACAAGAATTCCTTAAGAATTTTGGAGTTTTATTAATGAAAATAAGGAATGACTCTTACTGACATGAGTTCCACAATCTAATGGAAGACACTTCAGGTATTGTTCCTGGCTATTGCCATCATATAAACACACTAAAATGAATTTTATTCTCTTAGCTTGAGATATATTATTTGACCACAAAAGCATTCAACAGGAAATATTTATGCCCTAAATAATTTAGTAAGGAGAATTAAGATTGCTTACCTTACTTTAAATAATTTAGAGATGATAGTAAAGGACATTGTAATGCAACAATAACTTGAAAAGTAAAAATTATTAGAACTAAATCTTTGCTTAATCCAATTTCTTTCTTCTAGCATTAATTTGCTTAGGGATAGTGGATCAGGAAATAATTGCTTTAGAAGGAAATTACTGTGAAAAAGCACTTACAGTTTAAGCTTCTTCTAGCTTATCAGCTCTACTTTGAAAAATTAGTTTCAAATGAGTTAAAAGGTTTATGAAAACCAATGAATTTTCCATTCAAGAAAAACCACACTGCAGTAAGATATATACTGTTTTTTTCTCTTTGAGGTCTCATATTTTTGCTACTGATGGAAAAAAAATCTTATTGCAAACAAAGCTTATTTAAAAGACTCTTCTCTGTCCCAATAATCAGAAGTTTATTTCAAGAAAAATAATTTTCTTTTAACAACCTGAAATTTTGAAGTTTATATAAAAGAAGCATGCTGCAGGTTAATGCCTCTTGGCAGCTGACAGTAATATTTTGATCTGGAGAAAAGCATGTTGTGACAACACAAAACAAGCAACAGTTATATGACCAGTCAGAAGAGTTGACTACAAGTTGCTATTTTCATTATTGATTGTGATCTGTTCAAAATAGGCAAATAATGATCAATAAAAATTCATCAAGCATAACCATATAAATGTGAACACTCATCAACTTATCACTTAAAAGTGGCTATTTTACTTTGTAAATATTTAATCTAGTGGATGCATTCTTGTCTGTCAGATATGGGCAAATTTCTCTCTGATTTCAAGTCAGGTAAATTATAAATGAGTGAGGATGACAAGTACACAAAACATCATCTAAATGTGAATCCTCTCTGAGCTAACTCCCAGTACCAGCATTATACTATTATTTTAGAACTCTGCCCCTGATTTGAGCCAATATCTGAGACTCTTAAGAACATCCAGACACTGTCTTGCCTTCCAACTTAATTTGCACAAAATCTTTCCTCATCATACCGCATATGGGACTAGGACACAGTAGGACAGGAATGTTGTACTCTGGAGCAGAAATCCTCCCACCCTGTGGGATGATATATTTAATCGTTGTGCATCGGTAGAGCTGCCCAGGCAATGAATGCTTTATACTGCCTCAGGGATCCAACCAGACAGAGTGAACATCAGATCAATACTTCAGCCTGCAAAATTAAAGGACTCAGTAAAAACTTATTTTTTAAGTATAAGCACAAACAGTCATCATCGTTACACTTATATTTGTGATATTGCAATAATTGCTTTTAACATTACAAGAAAATCATGCTGCCTCTCATTACAGCTTGATGGTAATAGCTGATGCTGGTAAGTTTTCCTTTCTAACATAACCACTGAGTAAAATTTACTAGAACATCATCAAGCATCAGGACTAAATTTTAAACATAAGTAGAATTGTATTATTATTATTGTTGTCTCCATCATTCAGAAAATGCCAGAATAACCAAAGCAAGATTAGCAGGCAAACCTATCAGAAAGTTTAGTCTGTAATCCTCTTCCTCAGTGTTTTAGAGAGATGCATCGATGTGTTTTCTGTGGGATGCAGACTTTCCCAGTGGGGCTCCTTGCTATTTGATGCTGTACTCTTGTGATATCCCCAACAGTGCACACAGTGCTCTGAGACAGGTGGTGCTGTGCTGTTGTTTTCCTCACCCCATGTTCTTTTACCAGTTTGGAACATAATGATCCCAAATTTTCCAGTCTTTTCTCGTGTTTTCTTAACTAAATGTACAAATCCTGTATAAAAGAAAAGTCAACAATTAAACAATCTCCTTTTCTACAGCTACCAAAGCTCGTCTTGTAAGACATACTTCATGAGCAATATGGTTTGAAAACCCTGGAATATTTTTCCACGTTTATTCTCCACTCCTTTATCAGTCTATGATGGCAATAAGTCTTTCCTATTGCAGCTTATACTTCTTGCAGTGCATCTAATGTTCAATAATGCCAAATTTGTCATGCCACACTTTATGCTTACCTTCAGACAACTTGGTATATCTGCTTACAGTATGATTTATAGCCTCAGGGCCTACTCACAAATCCTATTGTCCTCTCTTGGACATTTTCTGTCTTCTGTCTTTGCTGCAATATGAATTATGGTCCACACCATCTTGCTATGCCATAACTTGGTTTTAGAATTTGATCCCAGGTCACTCGCTGCATCCCCTCTCCTTCAAACTGTTTATCTGTCCTGCTTAATAGAGGTTGTTTTTCCTACCCTTCTCTCCTAAATCCTCAGCTGGTGTCACCTTTGTCCTTCAGATCTCCTGAGAGCCACCTCAGGGGGCTATTAACTTACTGTAACCAACTGTCTTCATCCAATACTCCTACAGAGAAACAGCATAAAGCCAAAGCAGTCAGTATCTTTTCAGCTTAACTTGAGATTTGTTTTTTTCAATTTATACTAAATCCTTGAAGCACTTTTTCCTAGCATGGCATTTAATATTGACAATGAAAGTAATAATTACAAACTGATAGAGGACTACTTGGCTCTGAATCAAAAAACATTTAATAAACAGAGAAGACCAGCACAAAAATTCTGAATAGTAAATCAGATTTAACATACCTTTTTTAACATCCCAGCTTGCCTCTGAGGCACAGAGTCTAAATCTCCAGATAAAACCTATTTTTATTGATGCCTGGATTCATGTAGATGCTATCAGGCAGAAATTGGAACACACTAAGTCTTCTACACCTAAAACAAATTTCTTTGAAGGATTTATCTTCCATAAGTGTAAAGTTTTTCCCAAAAGCTTTATAACTGAGAACCTAAGTCTCTAACTTTCCTTCTTTCCTTCCTCTATTGATGTTATTAGATACCTAGAAATAATTCTATCTTAAACATAGATATAAAATCTCCTTTAACTTTAAAAATCTAAGTGTTTATAAAAATCAAATGTGTTGCAAAGTACATAAATTTGTCTTTTTGTCACAAATTTGTTCCTAACAGCAGCAGATTCTCCATGTCATCATTGCTCGCTAGGGATAGATGTCCACAGTGACATGTTAGTAGGAAGTTTGGTCATATTTTTTGTCTTTATCAGCATTTGATTCTATTACATGAAATAACTATTAATATCTTCAGCCATTACATTCTGCGTGTTTTTTTTAGGTGATAGTTCAAAAGGATCAGACTATGTTTACAGAAGCAGAGATTTACATTTCATAATAATAAAGGCTGACACAGTTTTTTGGAAATTTTTTTCAATTTTGAGCATTGCCCTTGTGATAGACTTTTTTCTCCTGTAGGTTGCAATTGAGACTGACTGCCAATATTTTGTCATTTCACACAGAAACATGAGAATTTTTCAGTGTTTTTTCTATTGACCAAATACTAGAAAACGCATCTTATCTGGGATGGACAACTATTACGTTAATTGCAAGAGAAGGAGCTTAATGATGGCACATATATTAGCTGGATACTTTATCTACTTGAAAGAAAAATATCTACCACCCTTCAGGGATGAAATAATTTATGCATTTTGCTATTAAATGAAATCAACTAAATAAAGATTTATTAACTAAATACATTTTAGCTTCCTACTCTCCTGCACTTCCGTCCTAGGACTTGTTATATGTGCAATCTGCTCATATTGTTTGCTTACATTTGAAGGAAGATTATGAATAACTGAAACCATTATATTTACCACAACTGACATCAGCTATGGCCTAAGCACATTAAACTTAAAACCAAAACTTAGAAAAATAAAACCTCATTTTTATTCCTTTGTTTCTGAAGAAAATAACATGGATGCTTGTGTCATTTTACTCAGAAATTTGTTTTGCTACTCTCACAATACCACACGTCCTTCTCATTTTTATTGCAAAATTCTCAGAAGTGGAACAAATCATCATCCAGTGCAAATAAATTCATAATACCTACACCAGAAGCCATGTCCTTTCTCCTTAATATAACTTAATTTATGCATAATTTCTTTTTCTGGGGAGGAAAGGACTGAGTAGAGTAGCCCTAAACTAGAAGTAGTCTGTTAGGCAAACCAGAATAGACAGAGACTGCCAGACTTGTAATGGGGAAAAAATATGACACATGATACTGTACTTTCTTTAAGTTATGCCATGCAGCCTTTTATTGAGTTTCTAGCAAGTTTCTATTTTTCAGCACTGTACCTTCTGCTGCAGACTCTGTATACTGTAGGAGATCTACAGCAACTGAACTTGGAAATACAGTTTTAGAATAGATTTTCAGCAGCACTGAGTTCTTTAACAAGAGAAAGGATTTGAGACCTTAGTAGTAGCTGTAGATAAGACAGACTGGGCAGAAATGTTGCCTAGATGCCTTCAAAGTTATTTGATCTGGAGATAGTAATTTGTTGGTCTATTTTTACTTCATGGGGAAAGGTCATGGAATCCTGAAAAATATTGCTGGAAAAAGCCTGCACACAGTAATCATGCAAAGATCACATGTTTTCTGGATTAAATGCAACAGAAATTCTGGCACAGCACAAGTGGTGTTGAAAGACTTTTAAAACAATCCTAAAGTAATTGGCATTAAAACCAAAGGGCCAGAATTGTTATTTAATTCTAGGGAAAGTAGAGATATCTTTGAGGAAGAATGACTAGCCAAAGGTTGTCATTGCATGTCTCTAATCATACTAAATGATGTAACTATATACATAGGTAAGATGGAGATTGCTGCAAATGAGAAGTATGATGAGAAGGACCGAACAGGCAGTGAAACAATTCCTGTCTTGTAGTGATGATGATTTCCTTTTGATTTTAAATTCCTGATGAAAAGTAGATGCTGGTTCCACGTCTCTTAATCTGGGGGATTGCTCTCTCTAATTTCAGCTGCTCTAAGCTCAAGATTTAAGTGCATATCATATATCACAAGGGATCACAAGCTGGATGATCTGGCTGAATTTTAATGATGCAGTAAAAGAAATCCCCTTTGAGAGGGCTCCTGGTGGTCCAGTACCATAGCTCAGATGCCAAAGCTATGCAAATAATGGTAACATCCTTGACCCAAAATATTTATATGTATTTTCTTGGAAGAAAATACTTTCTGCTTAAATCTTTCACACCTCCTGTCTCACATGGCCATAGCACCTGAATTTACAGCAGGCTCTGCCCTGTTACTTTACCCAGTATATCAATCTGAAATATGACACAGGGGAACTATGTAGCCTCTGCAATACGACACACATTGGAGCCATTATGTCAGCAAGTCATGATGTCTGTGTAGGGCAAATAAAATATTGACTGTCAAAAAAACCCAACAACTAAAACTGGTCTCAGTTTTTAAGGTACCTTGTCAGCTTTGACACACATTTATTACAGACCTAGGAATCAAAAATAATGTTTCGTAATATACTGGGGATTTGGCTAGTTTTCCATCCTCAGGGATAACATAGTAAGAATCATGGAATGAAAATGAATAATTTGTCAATTGCTAAATCCTTGAAACATAGTGAAATAAGTAGGTATTACAAACAAAGTCTACTTTTACTCATCTTGAACTAAAAAAAAAAACCAAAAAAATAGGATTTACTAGTAGGGCAATACATTTAATTGGTTGCTCACAGTAAAAAGGAGAGGATATCCTAATTGCAAAAGATGAGATTTCGTTTCAGAACTAAAATGATTATTTGGAACATATCACGTAAGTTTAGAGGCTTGAAGAAAGTGAAAAATAATAAGCCCCCTCACTAATAAATTCTAAAAGCTCAAAGTTGCCCTACCCTTCTCACTTTAGTCTTTTGGCAAATCCAGGCTTATTGGCAGAGCTGTTGAGTGTCTTAGTTTGAGCAGCTCTTGAAGGATTTCTTGAAGCACCTTTCAGAAAGGTCCAAAGTGAGGACGTAAGAGAACTGAAGTGGTCCCCTTTGCTTTCTCATCACTGTCCTCAATTATTAAAGTGGAGAAAAGGTAGGAAAGAACCTGTCTTTGGCAGGATGGATATTAATGCCTCTTTTAAATCTGCACAATTTCTTATGAGCGTCTCATGTTTGATTTTCCTCACTTGCAAAGCACAAAGTTGCGTGTAGGTGGAGATAGAGTCAAAAACTCCTTTGTGTGGTTTGTGCTAGGAACTTTTACATCAGGACTGCCATTTCTGGAAGTAAGAAATACATGGCTTTGTCATGCTGGCAGTGAACCACAGGGATTAGAAGAAATATTGCCAACAATATACAAGAAAGCAGTGATACCACGAGTTTGATGAAAACAGCACCTGGAGGACAGCAGAGGAAAATGTTCTTCCTAATATTGCTGTAAATGAGAACCCAGCAGAGTAGGTAGACGTTCTTGTGGGAAATGTTGTATATTATCAGTGAACTTCTTTCCTGAAAGCATTTTATTGTTAGGAGTTTTACAGATACCAGAAGCAATTTAAAATGGTTAGAAAGCTTCTTAATGACTATATCGTTCACACGTTGGGCAAAATTGTAGTTACACTGAGACATCTTGTGATACCATGGATGTGTTCTTACCCAGTGTTACAGTACACTTTTGTCATATTTTTGTCTTTTCTGACAATAAAAAAATGCACAAGAGCAAAACATTTGCAGGAAACTGGCTGAACTTGCTGGTTTTTTAAGAGTGTTTTCTGCAGTCCCAGTAGTTTCTGTCCCAGGCAATTCAGCTCTGTAAGCTTATCTTCAAACTCTCTTTTATTGTGATGGAAAAATTGTCATTGCTTTTCCCAAAGCTGCTCTTGCTTCTTGAGGGCTAAATCTGTATACCATGATGTAAGAGGGAAAGATCTGTTTACTTGCCTGCTGCTTTCTCTGCTGGCAGCACAATTCCCTGCTTCCCTATTCTGTTACTCAGAAAGCTTGTGTCACTTTGATCAAAAATGAATCATAAGGGAAAAAAAGGCACAGTAAAAGTATAAGAGAAACAATTTCTGTTTGAATAAGAAAGAGAATATGTTGTGCCCAAAAATCTTCAGGATACCATAAGGTTAGAAGTACAGGACAAAGACTCCAGCTCTGGAACAGTGGTTTTATGTTGTCCCAAGAATAATTAGCTGCCTGTGGAAAAGGGCTGTTCTTTTTCACAAGAAATATATTACACTGAGACAATCCAAACAACATTACCACTGGACAAGGAGAAATCTGGTGAGCATCAGCAGTAGCTGAGGACCTTCATTCACAAGCATTTACACAGAAAAAGAGGCACCCTTGGCTGAGATTAAAGGGATAAATAATGAAAAAACTCAAAATGGAGCTACTTCTTTTGCTCTAGTGTTTTCAAGCCATAGCTTAAAAGAAATTTCTTCAAAGAAATAGTCTTCTTCAGTGAGTCAAGCTTTTCCAAACCAGAGAAACAAACAACTAAATTGTTGTTGTGGTGTTTTCTCTTCTGACCCATGAAAAAATTACTGCATTTAGGCTAGCAAAAATGAACTAAAATAAATTTTTGAAAGCTCATGATTATTTGGATGGTGTAAACAGGTTTGAAAATGTAAGAGTGGATCTATAGTGTTTGGACAACCACAAATATATGCATATCAATTTTTTCAAAATGAAACCATGTCTTAAGATATCTTAAGTAGGACATGGGTATGTTAATTATAGATAAGTACATAAATATATATGTAAACAGATATACTATTGGTGTAGCATTTATAAGTATGAATACAGACATAAACAAAAAAAATTACACCATGAGCAACCATATGGGCCTCTTCAAGCCTTCCCTTTAATGCTTTGATATGCGTCATCATTCTCATATTTAGAGTGCATGCTCTTTAGGGCACTGAATCATCCCTTAAAATTGATGTTAAATATATTTACTGGAGATAATGCAATAAATAACTAGAATATTTACAAATAATGTTATATTTATATGAGTTTATAATTTTTCTGTGTTCTCTAAGAGTCCAGTAAAAAAGAGTGATCATGACATGGTAAGACAGAGATTATTTTGCCTCCATACTTGGCTCTGAAAACAGAACCAAACTAAAACATTATCCTAATGGGGTATCTCTGTATTCTGGGAAGATGTGGTAGATTATAAAGAAGTTGATGAGTTTATGTAGGAATTTATCAAGGTAAAACTGTCTCTTTATAAAAAATAATTATTGTAAACAGAGAAAGGGTGGAAATATATTGATCACTGGTGATATTATGAACCACAGATGAAAAGGTAAAATAAAATATGCTTGTATGGAATAACATATTTATGATAATTTTTATTTTCCCTTGTAAAAACTAATCCTGCTACTGCAGTTTTCATTTGGCAATGAAAAAAAATTCATATCAGATAAATGTTTTAATAGTAATTGATCAGATTGGTGCATTCAATGACTTTAGGCTCTCCTATATGGAGGAAAAAGTTGTTTCTAATTTCAAATTAGCGTTGTTACTTATGCTCCTTTTTTTCCTCCCTTCACCACCAAACTCTGCTCTGACCAGGCACAGCCCTTCAAAGACAAAAAGTACTGGATGGCATACTGGGCTCCTGTAATTCCCACTGAAACACCACTGAGTAAGGCAAACCTGTTGGGTTTAAAACCTGTTGATCCTAAGGGATGAATTGGAGGACATTTTGCCTTTAACTGCTTCATCCCTTGCCAGACTAAATTCATTTGCATTTTTGTTAACAACTTCATCAGCTATGACTTTATTGAATATTACCATGCTATGAGACTTTCTGTACTGTGTGATCTTAATTGATTGATGCATGGGAGCAGAAAAACAACACAGCCATTATACTGAGTATTTTGCTGTCTTCTAGGAAATTAAATGACCGGCAGCACCTTTGCAAATTATTTTTACATGCCTTTGAAAAGACAAAAAGTCAAAGAAGTCAAAGGGCAAGTGACCTTAACCAGCAGAAATCCACCAAAAAGCCACAGAAAGTTACCTGAAGTGAAAAGTGGTGTTTAGGTGCCGTTTGGTCAGTCAGTCCAAGCCTTGTTTTTGTGAGTAGGAGGGTGCATGTGCCCAGAACTGTTTTTAAAACCAAGGCCTTGCTGGCACTGAACACTAGGAAACTGCTTCCTGCCAAGCATTTTCTTGGGGACACTGACAGCAATATAACAGCTGTAACTCAACACAGGAAGAAGCAGGTGGTTTTGGCTGTGCACAGTAAGTTATCTGGATCACATAGTAAAGCACAAAGGAAGACTGAAGACAATTTGAGCAAGGCTTTGGTGTTACACTGGAGGCAATGGCATTTCAGTGAAGGAACTCCACATGAGCATGACTGATATTGCTGTGCAAGTTGTGTGAGAGGGGTGGAAATGAAAACTGCCTTGCCCCAGCACAAAAAGATCAGCATACATTGATGAAGTCAGTGTGTGATCACATTGGGACCAGCTGGTTATGAGGGAATTTAATTGGCTTTGGCGAAATTTGGGAAAAGACAGATGTTTCAGAGCTGGCTGTGTTCCTGCAGCATGATTGTCATAGTGTAATTTCCCACTGGTGTGTTTCACATCCTCGGAAGCCCAATTAGCCATTGAATCTTTGCTTGCAGCAGGCAGAACTAGGAATGTGCTGGTTTTCCCCCAAGCAGCAACTTTCTTGTTTTATGCATGCTAGGAAAAATAAAAAGTCGTCTTTTTCAGCTAACTGAGCCACAGCACCAGCATTTCTTACTAGCAAACCTTCAAAAAGAGGCTGTTCTGTATATTCACAATGTCTCATATCTCCTGAGCACTCTAATGTTTTCCTTTCACAATTAGACACTCAGGACTTTTTGTCCCTTTTTCTGGGAAGCACATAGCTGTATACCTGACTCAATCTCCCATTCTCCAAGCCATTTCCAAAACACACTTTTTCTTTATTTGTACAGATTTATGACCACTATTTTCAGAGCCTTAATCCTCTCATCCAGATGAGTCTGCTTACTTTTCTTCCCCAGACTCTCCTGTTCCATTATCTCAACCAAAATCAGATATACTGCAGGTCAGTCCATATGTAGAACATTTTTTAATTCTTCACAGAGTTCAGGGAAGACACCAGAGGCACTCTCCCCTTTGCAAGCTGGTCTGGATATTCTACCTCTTTCACATGGATGGAAATGGGTTGAACATTGCATCAATTAAAGAACAAAAGTGACAGTAGAAGGTTTATAGTCTTCCTCTTGTTGTCAGAGAAACAGTCTTCTAGTTTTCTCCTTCCTTTCTCCAAGTCACGTACTTGAATTTTTGCTAGTGGTGCTCTGAAGTAAGTTGACTGCTTTAATTGGTATCAGTTACCTTATACTGAGCTCAACCACCAGCATTTCTTGTCTGTGCAAGCTTGTGCATTGCCAAAGCTACTGTGAAGGGATACTTCTCATGAAACTCGCTGGAGTGTTTTAAAGAACGTTGTGCATTAACACAGAATCCAATCAGGAAATGAATTTTATTACCCTTATTCCATGGTAACAAGATGTGAAGGTCAGCATTTGAAGATTGATTATAAACACACAATCAATCAAGACTATCTACTGCCACTTGGGATGACTTAAAAACGCAAATGAATAGCACTAACTTCTTCATCTTCAGTATACAGAGGTCTTGAGGGAGAATACTTCTTGGTCTTTGCAGCAAACCCAGAGCAGGCCTCCACTGTGAAACAAAAGAAACACACACACAAAAAGCACAAATGTATAAATGCCTGTTGCAAGGGAACATTCCTAACTCTTCATAAAATTCATGTAATTAGCTATGAAGATATTTAATTTTTTTTATGAGCTATCTCCATCTGTTGAGGTTCAAGGCTTACTAAAACTCCAAACTGAAAGTTTGTACATAATAACTAACAAAACTTGTTCTGTTATGATAAACAGGGAGAGTTAGAGGATCACAAATGAAAAAGAGGGTTTCACTCTGACACAAAATGTTACGTTGGTACTGTTATGAGCTGTTATCATCACTGGGTGTTCTTGGACTTCCCCAAAGAAGGATAGGTATAGCCAAATACTTCCATGTAGGTTTCAGGATAGAAAGCAGTTACATTTGCAATCAGAAAGAGCTCTGTGCCTTAGAGGCATTGCACAGGTCTTGTCCTAGTGTATAGATCTCCAGGACTTACAGACGTTACAGAATCTTGAATAATTTTCTTTCACCTACCTGACACCAAACAGGTTGCATTTAACAAATTTATATCTCTAGGAGAGACATTTAATCTTCGTACAAAGACATGAAACAATTAAAAATTCACCATTTCCCTTAAGATCCCCTATAATGATTAATCATCTTCATTGCTGGAAAAGTATCATGCCAGAAGTGTCTGGCATTACTTTCTGTCCATATGTTCTTATTATGACCCCCATATTAAATATCTTCTTAATACATAATTTATTACTGTGAAGGCACTTGCAAGCTGTAATCAAACCACTTCTCAAACCCCTCTTCTTGGGCTGAACAGATTGGGCTCTCCAACTCTCACTGCAAGGCAATTTCTTCAGCCTTTAAATCATTTATGTTTCTTTCATCTAGAGATTTCCTAGCTACCTTTTTACTATGCAGACATTTAAACTATACACAGTTTCGTAATATCAATGTCAGTCTTGGCATAGCTAAAAATAAATTCATTTCTCATACACCTATTGCTAATTTAAGTATCAAGTGACTGCCAGCTCTTTTTAGTGCTGCATCACTTTGAGTGCTTATGTGGAGTTGTTTTTTTACTAGGGATATGTACTAGGTCCTTAATTTCTTTGAAGCCTGCTCTTGGTTTCTAATGCTGAAACCTTGCTCAGATATTTATTTTCATATTTACTAAAATACTAATTTAGTTCACTCTTTCTGCTAATCTATTCAGTTATTTTTCTTTTTTTAATTGTTTTTCCATGGTTTTACTTATCTATCCATTTTGGTAAACATTTTGTTTGTTAATGGACAAAAACATTCTATGATGTTGCAAGTAGAAGCAGAAAATACTACCACAAGGAAAAATAGAAATATTAAAGAAAAAAAACCAAACAGATTCCTTGCAAATATATTTGCCCATGTCCTGACTATGCTGTATTTTTTTTAAAGTTTCTAGCTTTTTTTTTTCCCTTATCATTATTTTAAACTCCTTTTCAGAAACCTTAGATCTCCTTAGTATAGATGTGAAATTTCCTTTTTTCATCAAGATCTTAGCTTTGATTATTCATTTGCAGCAAATTGATTGCTTGTAAGCTTTATTGATTCCATGGCTTTATTCCCTTTCTAAGTGTATTTGCCAGGTACTGATTTCCCACACTATCCAAACTGCTCCTTGACTTCAATGTTGATCCAAGCAGTCTTCTAAATAAGATTTTCCTCCATTTTGAAAATATAAGTCTTAAAACAGACCCATTTTTATGTGTTTTTTAAAATAATATTCTACAAAAACCAAATAATTTTTATTTCCAGCAGAATTTTTGCATATTAGTCATAATTTTAATGAGGATGGGGAGACAGAGGCAGACTGGCTAGTGCTTTCCTGCCCTTCCCTAAAAAGCTATGTCTTTAAATATCATTACTGGAAAAATTCTACCAATAATACAGAAAACTGCAAGTACCTAAAGGCCACACAAATGCTTGGTAAGGCCTAGGCTATAAATGTGCATAATAGAGAAACATAAAAGAATGGTCAAGGTAAAACATAAAATGAACAACTAGACCACACTGCTTGTATAGGTTTATTTTTATCTGACAAAAAGCTTGTTCTTAAAAAAAGCTTGTTCTTGTTCTTAAATAAGCAGACCAAACAAACCCATTACACCTGGTAACCTAGATATAGCTTGAACACTGTCAAAAACAAGCAGAGGCAGAAACAAAATAAATCACTTCTCTTAACAGAGACTACACAATTCTCTCATTTCTCTCCTTTCCCCTTCTCTCTCTCTCTCTCTCTTTTTTTTTTTAATTTTCTCTTTTATTTGTGTATCACAAGCTTTTATTTAACAAAGGTTTTGGTCTTAAATATATTTAACTTCAGCCTCTTGTTTCCCAGGTAAGGTGCTGCCAAGCCTAAATGCTGATTTGACTCATTAGGTATCTATTCACAGTCTGACACAAAAAAGGCCATTCCCCCATAAAAAAGGGTTGTGCTGCTGAGAGCTGCTAAACCCATGTGTATGTTCCCATAAGTGAGAAAGGAACAAAACTACCTTGTCACCCTTACTTGTTGTCCTGCTGGCGTGTGGGACAGATGTAACCTCTGCGGGCTGTGGAATATGGCAGAGTAATTACATTTGGGACACCTTACAGCTCAGAAACCATTTCTGGGTGAAATCAGTCCCTTTGGTAATGGTGTGAGACTGTTGTCACCTTTGAAATCATGGAAGATGGGAGATACTTTGGATGTCACTTGTGAACCTTAGAAAGGTCCACTTGTAGAAGGAATATTTAAAGCACTTACTGTGGGATTTTTTCATGTCTGGTAGATAGAATTTTTAATTTCCTTTTGTGTTCTGTCCCTTTTCCTCAACTGCAGCCTAAGGGACCCACATTGGATTTTCAGGAGTGGCGGTCTCTCCCACTGTGTGGAATCCTGCTCTATCTTAAATAGGAGATATTCATGAAAGGAAACACCCAGAGGTTACTGAGAAGATTCACCACCACCCTACATGCAGCTTGCATGGTATTAGAATTAGCACAATGGCTAAGTAAAATATGCTAAGTAAATGTGTAACTGAATGCCCTAGATTTTCCACTAGATTAACACCTGGGCTGTGACAAATATGCATGTAGTCCCAGAGATAGTAAAGTCAATATCTGTAAAAAGTTTCTTCTGGACTTTTCTTCACAGAATAGCAAACACTTCACTAGAACGCACTTTAAAAAAAAAAATTAAAAATTACAAACAGCTACTTAAATCTTGGTGGAGAAGATCAAGCACAGAAAGAAGTTTCTCATCTCCTCTTGTGGGACACAATCCTCCCAGCTAACAGAAAAGACGCTAAGCACAGATCTTGATAATTAGAAGCCTGTGTAAGTACAGTAGGAGCTAATAAGCCA